CTTTTTCGTCACCATAAGTTACTTTTCTTGTAGTGACCACACCACCCCCACTTGCTACCTCCCATCACTCGCCACTGTCACCCACCCACCCACCCACCACCCATCCGCCACCCACCTGCCCACCACCACCGCCACCACCACCCGCTACCACCAGCCACCACCATCCGCCATTCGCCACCCGCCACGCCACCACCACCACCCACTAGCTACCACCCGCCACCGTCACCCACCCACCCACCACCACACCACCAACTACCTACCCGCCACCACCACCCGCCATCCGCCTCCCACCTGCCATCGTCACCCACCACCCGCCACCGCCACCTCCACCTCCACCACTACCACCACCACCCACTCGCTACCACCACCACCCGCACTGTTACCCACCCGCCCCACCCACCACCCACCGTCATCCTTTCCAACCACCGTCTTCCGTGTCACTTGCCACCACTGCTATTTCTCACCTCTTTTTTATATTTAAATTTTTTTAAACATTTTGTCAATACCCAAACGCGGTTATAGTTTATGTTTTCTAAAAATAAAACAAAAAATAAACAAAAACCAGTTTTATAAATTTTTGTAAATAATAATTGAAAACGTAAACGTTACCAAACTTTTCTGTAATTTTCGTTTTAGGTTTGGTTTAGGCTGATTTCGGTAATTGAATTATTGACTTTTTTAAGACTAATTAAATAAAATATCCATGCACAAAATCAAGATAATTAGATGTCAATAGCTATATTTTTAATCATATTTGTTTTTTTAAAAATTAGATAAACAAATATAATTTCAAAAATAACTATTCATTTTTTGTAATTCAAAATATGCAGCTATCAATATCCAATTATTTTAATTTTTTGTTTGAATATTTTTACCAACGAATCCTAAAAATTAACCACAATGCGTTGAGATGACCAACCGTAAAATAACCAAATACATCCACATGGTTCAAATAAATCAAGCTAATCCCAACCAAACATTATACATGTTCATTAAAAAGTTCTGCAAGAACAAGAAGAATTTTACGAGAAAACAAATACTATTCTATGTAATTTTTTTTATATATTTTTCATGTTTAGTTGCTCCAATATCCAATAAGATAGATCAAATATAAAAAGATTATTTAGCTTACTTCATGAATGAGGTAAAAACCACGTATATATAATAGATTCATAATATAATTTAGAAAACAATATAAATAAGAAAATAATACTAAATCAAGTAACTGATACAATCGCAGATATATATATAATATTACAAATAAAAAAATTCTATGTACTCTTATTTTTATATTCAACAAGATTAATAATTATATTTTGTAAGCAAAATACACAATTCATTTTGAAAAATATAAAAGGAAATAACTATTGAAATTAGAATAAGAAATTGATTATTTTTCACTTCAATTCCATTTGCTTTTTTTTTGTTGAATCCAAAATAACTATATAACCAAAAGTCATGCAATGGGTTACGCTTCTTTTTCACTCCATGTATCAATTATACGCGTGATTGGGAATACTCATGCAAAGGATGTTTAGCGTCTTAATTACATTGGCACTCTTTAACTATTAGTGATAGGGATTGGACCCTCTCTAGTTTGATATTTCAACCCATTTGGATAATTTCGATAATCCAAACCGTTAATTATAGGACTCATCGAATATTTCATACTTGTGAAAAATCACTTAATCGGATTCAATAGTCACTTGATCGATTATATTTGTGTCAATTTATTTTAAAATCATATTTACCGTTGACACCCATTTTGGATCCATTTCGATAATCTAAATCATTCAATAAGTTGGACTCGTCGAATATTTCATGCTTGTAAAGACACACTATGATCTAATCAAGTGTTATTGAATTAGATCAACATAATTTTTTACGAGAGATGATACTCAACGAGACCTACATATTGAATATTCGAATCATCGATTGTGAGCTTCGTGAGGGCCCAGGAAGCCCAACAACACCTCCAGTTCAAGAAGAGAAGCCACTACCTATTGATTTTTTTTTTTTTTATTGGCGAAAGTAGTGGTTAATTGTTAAGTTAGCATTTCAGAGGAGTTAAAACTCACATCCTATACCTTGTAAAAAAATATTGTTCTCCCATTCTACTCCTAAAAGTAGAACCCAAAACCTCACCTTAGGAGAGACTGGTAGCCAAAAGGCTAACCAATAGACTAGAATCCCTTGGTTCCCTGCCTAATATATATACTTTACTCCTTAATTTATTGTCCATTTAGACTCGTTAAACTATAAAATTGCATTTTCACCGTTGTAAAGGTGTGTTTGTATAATCTTCTTACGAGTTCTAAATATACGATTTAGAAGTTAGGAAATAAATTGATATTCAATGATAGTTAATTGAGTGTTTATGTAGTTGTGTTAGGTTTTTTGTTATTGGCAATCTCGTTTGACAAAAACTCTTTTCAATTATAATTTATTGATCTTTATTTAAGTGAGGCTATGAATATTAGATGCGAATCCAACTCAAATTGTCTATGCAGAGAAGTTGTGATCTTAATCCTATCTTGTTTGCCACTTTGCTGACTATGCGGGGATCGAGCTATTTTCACTCAAGCGCAAGCGGCCATTCCTGCACTCGAACGGAGATCGCAACCTTTCAGATGTTTCACTCGCCTGCAAAAGTCTGGGAGTTGTATTTCCCTCAAGCGGCCATCTTTGCGCTCGAGCGGAGATCGCAGATCTGTTTGTATAAAAAGCTGCGATTCAGTCAGTTTTAGGGTACGGTTGCTAGATTTTCTTTTTGGTATTAGGGTTTTCATCTGAGCTTTTTTGCTTGTTTTCTTGATATCTATGAAAGTTTAATCACAAATTGAGTGGATTATATCAAAGGGTTTGTTTAGTTTGTTTTATTAAAAAAGAGAGAGTTTTCATCGGTATCTGTGAAATTTGAGCCCAAACTTTGGTGGATTCCGAGTGGCTCATTGTAGTAGATTCGACATCGGCGTTGTGATTCAACGTTGGGCAAGACAACTCCGAGTTAAGAAGGTTGGAAGAGGCATATAGAGGTCGATTCGATTTGGCGTAATTCGCTAGATAATTGAGAGTACAATTGTGTAATTCCTTGTGTCTTCTTAGTGAATTATTTTGTGACTTTGGCCATGTTTTTATCACAATTGAGGCACTCTAATGTGGTTTTTTCACGTTAAAATCATTTGTCATTGTCTTGATTGTTTATTGGGATTGTTATTTACTGCTTTAAATTGATACATAATCACAAATTAATATCTCAGATTTTTAAATTTTTCATAATGATATTTACAAACGAAATCAAATTGATTTTAACTTATTTAAGTATAATTTTGCCATATTAATTGTAATAAAAAACTGCACTAAACACTCACGTATTTTTCAAATAAAAAAGAAGAAGCTATGAGCAGTCCCATAAGCCACACGAAACATGTCTTAAATCATTTCTTAAATTATTTTATATATTGTAATATTTTCAAACCATAGGTTAATGGCCCTGTTTGTTAAGAGCTATGGGAAATGCTTATAGCTTAATGCTTTAAAGTTATATTATAACTATCATAATAACTATTTCTGACTTATAAATAACCATCCTGCCACTCAAAGAATAATGATTTTTAATTTACAAAAAGTATACTGCATTGTTAGCTAAACCAACACATCAAAATAGCTTAATTAAGCTGAAAGCTGAATAAGCAACTTTTAAGCTGCACAAACAGGCACAATAATATGTAGACGAAGATGAAATATTTCTCATAGGTTATATCAATATGTTTTAAATAAATAAAAGTATTATATTAAAAGAAAAATGTTTGAGGGTACAATTTTGTAGCTTATGGCTCGAAATTGTAAACACGTGTTTTAGCAATTCAAAGTTATTTTGTACTCAAAACGATCGTCGTTTTACAATTTCAGTCATTTGAGAAAAATTGAATAACATTACTGTATTTAAAGTTATACTGTTATCTATTTTTTTAAGACAATATAATGAAGTTATGTTGATGATATCATATCAATCCTTTTTTTTTTCATCGACAAATGTACACAAAACTCTATAAAATAAAGCTTTAGACAATTAGAATGAGAACAATGAAAGACACTATATTGAAGCTTTCTCCTTAACCCTTATTATCTATTGTATTTCTACATTTCAAATTAATAAAATTTGTTTTTTGCTAATAAAAAAAAGCTACACTGGACTTCTCTTTACCTAGGTCTATTGTTGAAAGAGAAAAAATGTGACGAGACAGTTTAATATAAAGAATTATATCATAGTCTCATAGAATAGATAAGATAAGGATGGAGTCGCTCCACA